ACACGGTGAAACCCCGTCTCTACTAAAAAATACGAAAAACTAGCCGGGCGAGGTGGCGGGCGCCTGTAGTACCAGCTACTCGGGAGGCTGAGGCAGGAGAATGGCGTAAACCCAGGAGGCGGAGTTTGCAGTGAGCTGAGATCCGGTCACTGCAGTCCAGCCTGGGAGACAGAGCGAGACTCCGTCTCAAAAAAAAAAAAAAAAAAAAAAGGGAAACTGTATACATATATGAGTTATAGTCCTAAGGACAGGACTCGATGGAGAGTTTTCTCTTTCCATCTGGTCAAATCAGGAGTTTATTATAAAAAAAGAAAAAACTTAACAATCTCCATTTATCACGGCTCAAGTGGACTCTGCAGCATCTGAGGGCTAGAGGTTTGCATGCACCCCAGGGAAGCAACTGGAGAAGTGGGTGGCTTGGGCTGGGGCGGATGGAGTGGAGAAGATCCGGCCAGCGGCCAGATTCTACATTGCATCTCCACGTGTGTTGTGTTCACTGCTTACCCTGGCGTTGTGCAAGGGGTGTGTGTGTATGCGCGTCTGACCCAGTTCCCCACGCCCTTCTCCTTCCCCTTCCCCTTTTCCTGTTCCCTGCACCCTCCTTTTCGGATAGCCTGGCCCCGACCTACTCCACCAGTCTCAAAGCCCTACCTTCACCTGTAATTCTGACTTAGTGAATTTCCTTTAGTTTCCCGGCAAAGAGAAAGCACTCACTTCTGGGGCTCGGTCCTTGTCATTCCTTCTCCTGCAACTACCCTTCCTTCCCCAGGTCAACCTCCCCACTAAGCCCTCGGGTTTCGGCTCAGTCTGGCTCAGCAGACACTCCCTACCAGAGGTTTTCCTTGATTGTCAGCCCCTTGACCGTGTGACCCCACCCACCCCACCCGGTTCCCTGTTCAGCCTTTCCGGGTTAGACTGGAGCTCCCTGAGGGTAAGTAGGGTCACTACCGAGTGTCTCTCGAAGGGCTCGGTGAGCATCGGTGCGGGGGGCGGCGCGGTGGTGGGGACTGCAGTGGGCTGGAGAGGAGAAGTGGGTGGCTTAGCTGGGGCGGGGCGGGAAGATGGAAATGGGGAAGACGCGGCCAGCGGCCAAATAAAGCCAGGCTGGGGGGTTCTACACTGCCTCTCCACGTGTGTTCACTTCTCGCCCTGGCGTCGTGCAAGGGGTGTGTATGTACGCATGTGTGTGTGCGTGTACATGCAGAGTGAGGCCTGGGGTAGCGTGGGGGAACCAAGAGACCCAGAAAAGATTCAAAAGATTCGGGGAGCAGCGATCCCATTGGCATCTTTGAAATAAACATCCTTTTGGAGAGGCTCTAAACCCTGGAGGGTCTGCAGGCGGGGGACACAGTGTTCAGGAGGTGACATGGCCAAGGGAGAAAGAATGTTGGTTGTGGGGGGGACTTTGCCCCGGGGAAGGGACTAAGGAGCCAGAAGCCAGGGAGGGAAACACACAGAGCCACGGAAAGACGGTCCTGCGAGCGAGCGGAGCGATCACAGGCATAGATGGGTGACGGTGGCCCGACGTCGCCTGGGGGTGCGGCCACAGCGTAGAGCTCGGCTAACTCTTAACTCCAAGAACCGAGATCAGTGCGCGGGGTGGGGCTCCCTCCGTGCACCTTAGACCTCCCCTCCCCCGCCCGACTCCTTACCTGTGTAGACAAAGCGGCCGGGTGCTCCCTTGCAAAACTGCTTGGACTTGTAGGAGAGGGTCACCTCCACCACCCCGGGGATGTGTCGCGGGGGCGTCTGCACCCGGATGGCGTGGGGCGTGATGAGCTGCGAGGGGAGAGGGGAGGCCTGCAGGTCCCGCACCGGCGAGGGGAGGGCCCAGCCCCCAGGCCCAGGGGGAGACTGGCGGGGTTGGCCCACCTCGCTCCACACGAGCACGTTTCCGAACACGACCTGCAACCCGTCGAAGAAGTTGTCGCCGATGACAATGACGGTGGCGCCGCCCGTGGTCCAGCCCTCCCCGGGGCTGATGGCCTTGATGCAGGGGGTGGCAGCTGGGAGGCAGGAGAGGACCCAGGTCAGGGGACCGCGCTGAGGTGGGGCCTGGGGACTGGCTGGGCCCGCGGCGGCCGGGGCTGGGCCGGGGTCCTGACCTTCGGAGGGGTCCAGGCGGCGCGCTCTGCGGCCATGCTTGGAGTTGTTGTGCACAAACATGTTGTCAGACACGGCCAGCACGTGCCCGTCCACGCTCACCGTCGTGGACACCACCACCTGCGGGGAGAGCCGAGGCCAGCCTGGCTGGGGCCCTCGGGGGCTCCCGGGAGGGGAATGTGGTGGGGAACCAGCACCTTGAGGCTGGTGGCTGGATGCTGGAATTTAGGGTCACTGGTGGGAGGAGGAGGGCTTCAGTCCTGCAGTGTCTGAGCTGGTGGAAGGGGGCCAGCTGGATCAGGTGACACCCCCAGATGAACTGACTCCCCAGGCGCTACAAAAATAAAGACCCCTGAAAAAACTGGCTCCTTGGGCAAAGAATGGCTACTGTTTTTGCATACACAGAATGCTGGGCTGTATCGACGGGCCTCCAAGGCAGGAATGGGGTCTTAGGCAAGCGGAGGGAGCAGCATCAGCCGGAGAACCCATCAGCAGGAGCCCCTGCCCTATTCTGGGGAGAAAACTGGGGCTGCCTTCTTCCCCCGCCCTGCACTGGGAGGGGTGTGCAGGCTGGGGATGTGCTAAGGGCAGCTGCTCTCCGCTTCACGCTATGCAAATTGCCTGGGTCGTTAATCATGTAAAAATGTCACAATTAGCATCTTCTTAAGTGGGACTCTAATGAAGCCTCCCTTGGCAGCCAGCATAAGTTGAGAAGGAGCTGCCCCACCCCCAGCAGGCACCAGGCTGGGGAGGCACAGGGCTGGGCAGAGGTCTGCCTTGGAGGCCTTTCCCAGGGTGGCAGGGTCACAGCCTTCCCTTCTCCCTCCCCTCCCCTCCATCAGGAAAGGGTGGGGTCGCAAGGGGAAACCCTTTCTCCAGACCCACCTGGAAGCGGCGCATGTCTCGGGGATTCCCCGCATTCTTCAGGCAGTTCTGGTTGCATTTGAGGAAGAACTTGAGGAAGAACCTGAAACAGTGTGGTCGGTGGGCTCAAGGGTCTACGGGTTCTGGAAACAGGTGAAGATCCAACTGCTGCTTGCCATCCCCCCTCTCCGCAGGATGACTCCCCTCTTCCGGCTCCCACTTAGGCACACATCCCATATTCCCATCATGGTCTGCATATACCAGGGTGCCTGATACACACCAAACAGACCCATCGCAATGACAACTTCACTGCACAACCACACACACAGTGTACCGATCACACAGTGCTTATTTATGCCACAAAGTTTGTATTTAGCACTCCCACACAGCACATATTCATCATAAAGAGTAAGCCCGTTATATACACCACATATACCTATTACTCATTATACCCAACACTGTATACCCATCACACATACAACATATGCTCCGTATGTGATGTGTATGCACACTTACCCAATGTAACCTTATCACACACAGTGTATATGTCACAGTATATGCTCATCACCCATATAGTACTTCTGTCACACAACACATCCCTCCCCGGAGTATACCCATCACCACACAATGTACACTCCTCAGACACAGCACATTCTTTGTAGGCACTGTTTATGCCTTGTATACTAATACTCACAAAATACAGCCATCACACACACTCAGGGTATAACCTTCACACAAGCATAAGCGACATGTACTCCACGTATAGCCTGCACTCATCACACACACGGCATACTAATCAGACACACAGCCCGTACCCGTCATGCACGGTGTATACCCACCCTACGCAATATATGCACAGAGAAATAGGAAATACCCAGAACACATACATTAATACACATTTTATGCTGTAAATGATTACTCAAAATATAGTTATTGCAAATACTGTAAAGCCATACCATATAGCAGATGCCCCCAGCAAATTCACCTCCCACATGGCAGATCCTCCTCCTACACATTTTATATCCATTATACATGTAGGAAAACGTAATCACACAGAGCACATACCCACCATATACACATGGTGTATCTGTCAGACATGTGGTCCAGAGACACCGTGAATGTCTTCTTTTTTACATAGAGTTATTGGGAAAAAAACACATATGCGCTGATGAGGCTGCTTTTTGGACAAACATGAGCACTTGGTCCTCCTCTCCTTCCTGGCAGTTGGCTGGGAGGGTGGGGTCTTGGTCCTGTTACCCACCAGTAAGGTAGCCATGGACAATATTCTGGCTGTTGTACTCTTTTTTTTTTTATCCTGGTTTTTTTTTTTTTGTTTTTGTTTTTTGTTTTTGAGGTGGAGTCTCACTGTGTTGCCCAGGCTCACCATCTCTCACTACAACCTCCACCTCCCGGGTTCAAGCAATTCTCCCTGCCTCAGCCCTCAGCTTCCTGAGTAGCTTGGATTACAGGTGCCTGCCACCACGCCTGGCTAATTTTTGTAGTTTTTAGTAGAGATGGTGTTTTGCCATGTTGGCCAGGCTGGTCTCGAATTCCTGACCTCAGGTGGTTCGCCCGCCTCGGCCTCCCAGAGTGTTGGGATTACAAGCGTGAGCCACTGCGCCCGGCCCTGTTGTACTCTTAGTAAACTTGGAATATGATCAGTATCTGCCTTATGCCTTACAGCACTCTGTGGGCATCTGGGACGATGCCCTTTACAAACTGTAGAGCGTGGGGCTAACGTCTGCAGTAGGTCCTGACATGTGGCACAGCCTCCTAGGCCACTGTATGAGTTTCTCCAGTCAGCCAGCTTTCTCATTTTACCTCCACCCAATTGGGAGATATTTTTACCATACTATTTACTAGAGCAAATACAAGAATCCCAAACCTGGGGTGGAACTTTAACCACTGTATAGTTACTCCTGTACTACTTATGTACCCCAAATTTGAATGTTCATTTAATTCACCAGAGTTGCCTCCAAAGTCTGCAAACATTAAATTCCTGTTCAGAGGAAGATTTGTTACAGGCCCTGAAAGCCTAGTCCCCAAAAAGGAGGTCCCCAAGTCCTGGGAGGAGTAAGGACCAGTCCTGGAACTGAGGTGTCCCCAGCGGGCAGCCCCTCCTTGGGAGATGGTGGCAGTCACCTTCCTGGAGATACCTCTCCCTAGGGTCCTGCCTCTGTCTACATTCTCAGCACTTTTCATGTTCCCTCACAGTAGGCACCCCTATATTTCCCAAATGGTGCATCCCTACAGTGCAGACAATCCATTTGCCCCTACAGGATACCCTGCAGTGCACACAGCTATTATGCCCCCAAACAGTAGTCGCCAATGTGTAGTTGCCATATATACCCCTATGGGTCACCCCGAGGTGCAGACACCTCCAGTGCTCCTGAGAGGTACACCTGCACAGTGGACGCGCTCCATTTCTCTCTTATTAGTTACTATAGTAATCACTCCCTACACCCCTTATGACACCCCATGGTGTAAACACACTACACCCACATGTGCAACATGTTCCTCATCCATGCCCCACATTCACATGTGACAGCATATAGACTCTCTACTCACACACACAGTGCAGACCAGTTCATTTAAATTAAGTACTCGTGTGCTCGGTCCTTTGGCAGGTGCTAGATGGAGGAAAAAACAGCAGGATGGCTCATGGTCTCTGTCCTAAAGGGACTGAAGGCTCACCTTTGGATACCACTGAAGATGCGACAAGCATAGGACTGCACCAGAAGATGACACAAGTGCCCACTGCACCCCACACCACTCAAAACTACAGAATCAAGAGGAAGGGTCCTTGGGAAGGGGCCAAGATAGGGGCTCTGGCCAGGCCTGGACTCTCTGTGTGACCTGGGGTAGGTAAATCCTTCCACACCCATGAAGGGAGAGTAGCGACTGAAGGCTGCCATGACACCTTCTAGTCCTGCCTCTGGGACATCCTTTACTTCCACCCTCCCCAAGGCTGTGGTTTCTTGCTCCCTCACTGGTCCTTCCCCAAGCCTTTGCTCAGCAGGTTTTCCCACTCCCACTATCCCTTTCCAGTACAGGTTTCATTTGTCCTTTGGGTCCACACCAATTCTCACACCCTGCCAGCCACCATTTTCTGGCCACTCTAGGTTTCAAGGACCACCCCTCCCTGAGAGCCCTAGGGCCCTGCCAGCACCTCTGTCTGTGGGGACACTTCAGTATTTGAGCCTGGCTAGCATTACCTGCAGAGTATGGGTGAGTAAAAGCAGCTGCACAAGGCCATGG